CTAATTTATCTATTGATTTGTGGTTGAAATTGGATCTCACAGTTACCACAAACTAATCAGTTCTCATTTGATTAGACCCCTATAATGTGATAGAGAAGTTTTTTTAAAAATACCTAATATGCCCTCTAATTATAATTTTAACTCAAACTACCATAATTATTAATTTCCTAATTTATCCGTTGATTTGTGGTTGAGATTGGACCTCAYAGTTACCACAAACTAATCAGTTCTCATTTGATTAAGCCCATATATATATATATATATATATATATATTAAGAATAAATAATTAATATAAAACAACTTCTTCGAACATTTGTATATAAAAAATTATTAACAACAAAATTTAGATCAATATCATCTCGCAATATATAACGAGGTTATCTCGACAAACCACCGATTGCAATCCCACCATACGAAAGTTAAAACACCATTACTAGCTATTAAATAATAAACAAAATTATTATAAATCTTTGATTATAAACAAAAAATAAATTTATTAAAATAGCCATTTTTCATAATTGGTTTCACCTTCTAGCCACTTTCTCTCTAAGTTTACCAAAATAGTTATAGGTCCGCAAACCTCACGTTCGCAATTGAGAACCTAGCCAGAAGACAAAAAAAATTACACTTTCTACCCCTATCTACAAAAAAATGTTACAATCTTCATCCACTGGTCATTGTATAAACATTATAATGATAATGTAGTTCGATTTTACTTTTTCGATAAACTTCTTGAAAATAATAACAAAGTTTCACAAATTCAGTAATCCACATATTTAACTACCAACGACACACATCACTGGTTTACAAGTTAATTTTTTTTTTGAGGCCACAAGCCCACAAATTGAAATTAAATTCGTTTTTGTATCGATTTCTCTCAATGTGATTTATCAATATATTTGTTATCATATCACCATGCTTACTCCCTACCATATCCATTTATTATGCCCTAGTTATTCACTGTTTTTGATCTATTATTAAAACAAATTAGACTCTTAGGGCCTATTTGTTATCAGTTTAATGAGACTCACAGCTTATTTGATCAGTTATACATGATTGTTTGAAAGTGGCTTATTGATATAGTAAGTAGCTTATTCAATAAGTTTTTTACGTGTGAACTTTATGTAAAAAGCCAAGAATTTTTCTTCCAAACATGCCACCACAATTTAAAAACACACGCTCATTCAAACTATGAAAACACCCTCTGAAACAAAAACAAAAAAAATCACAACTTATACAGACATTAATCCACACAAACAGCTTTATTCATAGATAAATGAATTAAAAATTAACTAAATAATCTCTTATTATATTAAACTTCTTTTAACCCATGTTATCTACAAAATTCATCTTGAAACTTATGTTATCTATTAAACTTGTTTTTAGACCCTGTTCGTCCCACCCTTCCGTAGGAACGGCCCGAACACAATAAAGACAGTAGGAGGCCCGGTTTTCATGAGAGGACCAATTCATGATCTGATTTACATAATTTTAAGAGTAAATTACATGTTTTGCCTATATGATTAGGTGTTTTTAACGATCTGTCTTTTTTTAAAAAAAAATCAGTGCAACATGTCCTTGTGGGTCGTGGTTGCATTTTCAACAAAATACTTTCATGTGGTTACAGTGTTGTTGATGAGTTGGATCCTTGTGATTGCATTTTTTTAATGAGTTTGATCCTTAAATAAATCAACGATCTGGGTCCTTACGGTTGCATTAAGCACCCAACTCATTGTGAAAGTGCAACCATGAAGACCCGATCCGTTGATGTTTCAGAAAAGAAACAAATACCGTTAAAAACAATAAGCATAGGGACGAAACATGTAATTTACTCTAATTAAATTAAATTAATATTTAGAGTAAATTATGTTTCGTCTTTGTGGTTATTACTCATTTCAATTTTCATCCCTATAGTTTAGAAATTGTCATTTTCATCCCTATATTTTATAATTTATTATTATTTTTGTCTTTGTAATAATTTTTTACTTTTTAAGTACAAGAGACCGAAACAATAAAGAAGTGAAACGATTGACAAGGACCACATAACTTAAGTTACAACAACAAAGGATACAATAGACATTAGACACCTTACCTTCCCCACCATCCAATCCATTATTTATTTGACTATACACAAATTTTAATAATACAAAAATATTATTGTTTATGATTGACAAACCCCAAATGACTATTTTACCCTTTTTTTTCTTTTGCCAAATTAAAAGAGCTTCTTACACATTAAGTAAACACAAAACCGCACCCACTAATATCCACCCAAAAAGAGAAAGCATGGATTCTCATTCATACCATTTTACTTTTGAAGAAGTGTATCTTCAGATGTCCTTTATACATGCCCTACAATCAACAACAAGAAATCAAATACTACTCCGTTCACGCAGAGGAATAAGAATGTCGGTTTAATCTGAAATGAAAATGAGCTCATTGTATTATATACAACCAGTTGATTTCTTTTATATTCAATCCCAGTAACGAATGCTTAATACCTCTAACCATATAGCCCCTTAACCAATTAATATATCGAATATCCAACGACCAATTTGGGGATCGATATGGAGTACCCTTTTAGAGGGACTCCCGGAAAACAACAGATCTTTGGTAATTCGTTGAACAATACATTGAAATGGACATTTGAACCAAATGCCTCTAGACCAAACCCAACAACCTGAGATCTATATTTGCAAGTTCGGTTGAGTTTCAGGTGAGGTAAGATGCAATATTTAGTCCCTATGACCTAATACAGTTGGTTCTAATGTGGCATACTTGCACAAACACGAAAAAGGCAAACAGATTAACACATTTTTTTAATTAGCTAAATGACAATTTTACCCTTTATTATTAAGGATAAAAATCTCTTGTTCCATTCCTATTCCTCTCCACTAATCACGTGAATACACAACATAGAGAGAATAAATATCCCAAATTAAATAAATCTATATTAAATAAAATAATCATGTGTCTTCACGTAATTGGTGGGATATATATGCAAGGACAGTGAAATTTGGTACATGAGAATTTTATCCTATTAATAAAGGAATTCATCTTATAACCAAGGATAGACTTGGAAATTAGATTCTTACTTTTAAAAGTGGACGTTTTTTTAGGACAAATTAAAGTGATAATGTGGGTTTAACGAGAGGATTTATTTTATGGCACAAGAACCAAATCACTGTTTTAGAGGGTTATTTGACAAAGACTTGATATCCAACTTTTTAGCAACCATTATTAAGAGTAAACTTTTGTTTTTTGCATTCTTTTTCTTTTTAGGTAGCAACAGAATACTTGAACTGGAAGAGAAGTAATAAAGCAAAAAGGAATCATCTAACACACACACACACACACACACACACACATATATATATATATATATATATATATATAACCAAAAAAAAAACCATCTACTTTCCTTTATATCATTTTCTTTGGATTGTTTCTATTGTAATTATAGTCAACCTATTTTATGATAGAAGTCAAAGTAACTGAAACCACGAAATTTACCATAATTCTTTCATATGAGGTTTCTTCCAAAAAGAAGAAAAAAAGACAATAAATTTGATAGTAACAATGATAGTTGTTATAGATTTAGGGGTTGTTTGGTTGATTCTCTCGTAAGTCTTGTATAGATAAAGATGTTTACGTGGATTAATTTGTGGGCATAGATTGAGAAGGTTTTTGTTTGGAAGGGTCTTTTCATAGGTGGAATAAACGTGTTTTTTAATTGAGAGAGACAGATCTAGAAAAAAAACTTGGTTTTCTGCATAAAGTTCCCCCTAGAAGCTTACTAAAGAAGCCACTTTCTACTCATTAAGTTGCTAACAAACGGATGCCAGTGTGTCCCATCTGGAAGTAGGGTATTTGGAACCAAGGTATTCTATCCCAAAGAGTAGAGCAGATGTTCTTGTGAATACCCCAAACTTGCTAAAAAGTGTGTGCAAAAAGATTTTGGTGAAACCAAATGCTTCAAAAAGTTTGGAAGGTGTTGAAAGTAGGGTGGAGCTTGAGACCAAAAAAGTAACACAACGGAAAACACTCGATAAAAAAAACCAAGACTAGTAAACCATAAACAGTAAAAAAATGGTTACACAAACAAAACCTTACTCCAAACCAATAAGATTTTAGCAATTTAGTAATGTTTTGTTGCTTGTATGCAAGATTTACAACTGCACTAACAAACAACAAAATTCTTCAATATTAAGAAGAAGAAAGAGACCGACACACAAATGACCGCATCATTTATCTTAACCAATCTATGACGAAAAGGATTAGTGATCCTAATGTAACCCTAGACCCAAGTTGAAGTTTCAACCGGACAAGCAAGAAGACGTTTGACAATTTCACATAGATAGGCCAAAAGGGTCCGGTTCAAGCGAGAACATTGACCAAAGAAGAAAACACAAGAACGACCAAATCACATGTAATTTTACACTAAAATCACAAGTGATTGGCCAAGTCACCCACTCTCCCTTGCGTTGACCATGTTCTATAATCATAGTGATTTCAGTGGAGAATCACATGTGAATTGGTTGTTCTCGTATTTTTCTTATTTTGACCCAGTTCCCATTTGAACCTAGCCGAAAATTATAATAAATTATTTTGACCTTGGATATATTATATGATTTGATTGCATAGAAAATAATAAGATTTAAGAGGAGAGATTATAACCTTTTTGATTTGGCAGATGAAGTGTTTTTGGTTGAGAGAAGGTTGAATTCTAGTGGCATGTGTTGAACCGGGAATCTTGCCCAAATGTCCCAAGCACTTGACATGCTACCTCAACCAATTTCCCTGCAAATAGTAATGTTTTTTTTTATTATTAAATTATTAATTAACAATTAATCCACAATTAATTATATAGTTTAACTTCTTCCACGAATTAAATATGCCCCTTATACCAGCTTCATAACTTCAGATTGTTCCATAACGACTACTGACAACAATTAATTGGGGCTTAATATCTATACCAATATAGCCTATTCACTACCGTTACAATATATTATATATTATATATGTATATGAACATGCAAACATACATACTACACGCCTTTCTGCCCATTTATTGCATGAACATGTGGGTTCATTAAAATTTCTGTGGCACCTTGGATGGATCAACAAGAGGCTTCTGGAGTTTATCTCAGATTTAATTACTATTTGAGCAAAGTTGATTACCAGCAACCCTCGTCAGCCCCACACTGGACCAGTCAACCCATCCCCTAGGAACCACATTTGAGGAGGCATTTTAGAGCTGACTCAGTGGCTTAGGCTGACGGAGGGGTTCAAGCCCGTTTCCCGCAGGATTCGAACTTGAATCTATTGTGTATTTGACCAAAGTTGTTCCGTTGACAAATACAAGCCCGAGGGCCCCATATACAAGTATTAGGAGCTAGTTGTGTTAATATGACATAATGAAGGATTGTCAATATTTCTTGAACTAAATGGATCAACATTAGTGATATTTAATGCTTAATATCTACTCACAGCCATGATTCTGAAGATGTCAACAAGCAGAGAAGTCCAATCATAATACAGTTTGGATTCTCCACATTTTTAATTGTATCCCAAAAGATAAAATACCCATGTAAGGTTTCAGCCCATAAAAAAAGAGCTTAATGCATATAATAAGGAACATGCAACATGCTAACAGTAGTGCAAGATTAAGAAAGGTTGAACAGAGATAGAGCATACAATGTACAAGTGAGTAAGCATAGAGTACAAGTGAGTATGAGAGAGGGAAAAAGACACCAGAACTTAAAACTAGTTGGGGTTTTGGATCTATATGTTGTTTTGATATCAAGTTTTAGTCGTTTTTTATGGTGAAAGTGATGTCCTTTAGTTATTCCACAAACCAATTTGTTTGCAATATGCAACCAAAGACCCTCCAGCTCACAATATGACCCCACCTGCCTACTTGATACCATCATTCAATGATGGACCTCACAACAAGTGTTTTTTTATGGAATGATACAAAACACCACCAAGTCAAGGGATAAAAATTTACCATTCCAAATTCCCATATGTTATTCTTATCTACCAATTATATGAATACATAGTAATCGGAGAGAGATTATGAACATGAAATAAATAAATTTAAAAAAATAAAAATTTGATGTGTTTTAATTCATTGGTAGGACAGAAATGGGACATATGGGGTTTTGGGACAGACGATCTCTATTCCCAAGTCAAAGGTCTTTGTTGTGTGTTATTCACCAATGGCAGCTGTAAAAATTATAAAGATTAGCCATATGTCCTTGTTAGACTAAAAGGTCTTTTGTCAATTGTTATGTAGTACATGTACTAAAACAACCAAAAAAAATTCATTTAAATCAACCTTTTGTCCCGATAAGTTTATTGTAGCAGGTAAAGAGGCACACATCTTGCAGAATGAGTGAGAGATTTGGGGTATGACTCCACGCACCCCCACCACACCCACCCTGCAACACGAAAGTTATACGTCCCATGATGACGGTGGGACCGTTGGTGGGGGCACTCTAAGGAGTGACGTCATACCCTTTTTTGGCAGAAAGAATAAAACATGGTTTCCTATACGTTTTGCATTACTAGCCTACATGGGTTTTGTCCGGTGCCCTCTACGTGACCCAAACAAAATTTGACCTTCTCCTTGGGTTGAGTGACCAAGTGATCCGGGTTAGATCAACCCTTGGGGGGGTGGTTGCCTATGTTTTTATTAGCCCTTGTAATTTACTCCTTACATCTAAAAGAAATTGGACTTCTTGACTTAACATGGTAGTCTAATGAAAGTCTTTGATTATAATAAAATGCTTAAAATATCTATTAACAAGACAAAATTAAAATTCTTATAAATGAGACAATTATTTAAATTCAGATTGTAATCTTACCAAATGCATAAATACTGTATTTCTTAGAAATATCCCTAAAAATAAAATTTGTACTATTTTTTGGAGATAAGGGAATAGAAAATAGGCAGTCATGTAAATTTGATGAAGTATTGTGGTAAAAAGGTCACATGTTCCTCTTGTAATCCATCACTTAGGGATTGTTTGTTAGCAACTCAATGAGGTTAAAACCCGAGGTAAAATGGGTATGAAGTAAAAAGAACTAAATTACACTAATTGAAACCAAAAAAAGTCGGTGTTTAACTAAATAGAAACTAAGACAAATTTTGTTACATTTTGTAAATTCTGATGCATAATTACGTTCACACTACCAACCAATACAGATACCCCGGTGTCGTTACTAACTCCTACGTCAGTGTCGGTTAGAAACCGAAATGTTAGTGAAATGTCTATAATACTCCTCAAAATTTATGACAAATTTAGGGTTTTTTAGTAATCAAATTATGTTTTTAATATATATAAAATACAAGTTATGATATACACCATATAAATTCCAAGCTCGCAATTTCCATGGCCTAAATCAAAACTACCTCATTTATGATTTTCTTTAAGAACCTAATAATTAAAAGTTGGCATTCATCACGGGCCATATGTACAGGTCAGCAAAATGTCAATTTTGCCCTCTTTGACTCACCGACAGCCCCTTCTTCACCATCCTCCAAAAACAATCCCCAAAACCCAAAGAATTTGAAAAATGGGTTTGATTCTCGAAAAATTTACATGACAGGTAATTTTATTTTTAATCCATTTTCTAACCTAAATTTACTTTTAATCAATCTTTACGGAAAAGCTTATGCATATGCATAAGGATTTGTGTTCGGAAAAAAAAAAAAAAAAAAACTTGTGCATATGTTTTTATAAGGATTCCACTTCTACCTAAGATTCTTATTATTATTTTTTTCCCAAAAAACCAATACTTATGCAAATGTGTGAGGCCTCTGCTTAAAAATGGGTTAAAAAATGAATTTGAGTAAAAAAAATGGCTGAAAGGTAAAATCCTATTTGTTAATTCGCGCTATTTCTCTCGATTTCCTTTGATTCTTGTAGTTCGATAATATGCTAAAATAATTGGTTAATTGTAATAAAAGAATAAACTCCCAAAATTCTCCGACGAACAGACCACCATTGTTTCCGGCAACAAAAGATTCAACAATTATAAGAACTGAATTGAATTCAAGAGGATTGTCAGCGTACCTCTACGCGATTTGGGTTTGGACTGAATGGTATCAACAGTTGTTATACTTTCTGGCTTCTTAGAATCTGTCTTCTCCGATGCAGGAAACAGAACCCCATCAATCCCTTGAACCGATATTCTACCGTCGGTGTAAATATCAGGATCGAACAAATACGCCGTTTCATCGTCGTCGCCGAATTTCACCGACCCATCGGCTTCCTGAGCCACCACCTTATGAGGTACGTGAAGAGTGTCATACCGAACCTTCCCGAACCTTCTAACCGCATTGTACATGCTTTCTTCAGTTTGGTATTCTGGTACGATGTGATAGTACATGATCCTCTCCGGCGCACCAGGTTCCGCCAGTTGATCGGCGGTCAATTTCGCCATGGCTTCATCGTTAGGTGCTAGAACGGTTAACACGTATCCCTCCGATACTAATTTCCCCATTTCCGTTGCCAAATTCGTCAAATTCACCAAAATGTCAGCCATCTCATTGTATCTATATACCAATTAAACAAGTTGATCAGAGCAATCGTTTGAATTTTTGGAAGAATTTTGTGATTTTAGATGTTTAGATGGTTGAAAAAAGGTGAAATGTATCGGCGGTCTAGATTCTAGAATTACCCGCCGTAGTGCAGCAGCGTTTGGATGAAATCCTTGACCTGGCTCTCACCGTCGAAGTGGTGGTGGGGGCCGCCGGGTCCAGGGGCGGGGGCGGGGGCCAACGAAGGACCGGGAGCCATGGCGTAGTATATTGGAAGCACCGGAGACGATCCAGCAGGCACCGACGGTGCCGGTTTCTTCAGGCGATTCGTTCTTGGATCCACCTCTGGTGCCCCCTCCGGTTTAACGGCAGAAATGGCACGCAAACTCCGGCGGTTATTGAAATCCTGCTGTACGGATTTAGGGATCAACAATCGACTAATTCCGTGAATAATTCCGTCGGGGCGGAAGACGTCGTCAAGCCGAACAACCTCCGCATTGCCGGCGAGTTTCACAGAGTCCAAATTGGAGAGATGTATAGGGTCTGGCGAGAGCGTGGTGTGCTGAGTTGACTCGTCCGGCCACTCAGACTGAGCCAATCGACTCGGAACGATGTGGTGGAGGATAAGCGTTTGTAGAGAGTGAAGATTTCTAGGTTCAAGTAAAAACCGCTTGAATTCCGGGTCAAGTTCGCGCTCCAGAGCTTCATTCCTCGGAGCAAAAATGGTGATATTGTGATTCGTGACAGCTTCTTCAAGTTTTTGTAACAGGAGCGCCTTCTCCACCAGCTCCGCCAGCTCGGTGTAACGGGAATCGAGAAGCGCCACCAGTACAGAATTGGAATTGATTTGTGTTGTCGCGTTGGTCGGTTTCCCTGACAATGCAGCGGTGGCGAATTGAATCAACACCGATAAAACAAAGAGGATCGTGAAACTCTTTCGAATGGACGCCATTTTTTTACCGGTTGGTGTCTGGCCGGCGATTCTGGCGAGGCGAATCCGTCTTCTTCAAGTGAACAAAAAGGGATTTTGATTTGCTTGAAAGGGAGGTCAACCGTGAATGTGAGAGAGATAGAGAAAGTGTGTGTGTGTTTCTCTCTCTTCTCCTTCTTCTTCGATTTATATGTTCATGGTGGTCTGAGAGACAAATGTTGGTGTGTACGGTAGTTGAAAACAGGGGTTTGGTATAAAGACGAGGGGTGTTGGTAATTAGGTGATTGTTGAGGGGGGTAAAATGTAAGTTTTTGGGTAATGCATCGTCGGTGGTGTGGTAGTGTGTTGCTGTCTAGAAGGGCAAGTGAAAGGTTGATTGCATGATGGTGATGATGTAGTCTTGCAAAATCCTGCAAAAATACATGCTTTTTTTATTTTTTAAAACACCCTTTTAATTTTTGTTTTGTTTGTTAAAATAGTTGATAAATTAACCGGTTGATTAAGGGGTTGTTTGTTTATTTCGTAATAGTTTCATTAAAAGACAGCATCTGAATCTTTAAGGGGTGAATCTTATTTAACAAAAAAAATGTGTCTCTTAATAGTTTTAGAACTCTCTGAATGATTTTGTATCATGAGTTTTCCTTAACCATTCAACGCCCTAATTGATTAATGGTTCTAATCACTTAATCATTTTGCATCAAACCATTCAACGACTACTAAACAGTCTATAATTATATTTGGTAAAAACTAAATGATAAGTATCTCCAATAACTATGCTAAAATATGTGTTAATTAATATAAATTGGGTGGTAAAAATATAAATAATATAATATATTAAGCAATAGAATTTTAATTTGATTTATTATGTGTATATATAA